GTTCACTCTAATTGCTCAGAAAAGACAAAAGAGCAAAGATACTGATATGCATCTTTCCAACCTTGGTGTGATTTTTTTTTTTTTTTGGTTTCTTTTCATAAAAAAAAAAAAAACCAACACCAGCAGACCTCCGTTTAAAGCTAACTTTGTGTCATCAGTGCAAGAGGATGTGTTTAAGAAAAACTACAACTATAAATCACACGTGATCCTTACTTTAAAGCTACCAAGGGTGAACAACTTTAAAAATTTTAGTGTTTTCTACAATTAAAAATATTCAATTGTTTTTGTGGTTATAGAAATTCCACTAAGTATTCTCAGTGAGGCATATGCTTTCTGTACGTTGTTCTATACAAAAGAAGTGCCGGTGCTATTTCGTTTTTGAAAATTATGCTCACTCCATTTTAAGCTTTAATGACATCGACTACCATGTTTTATATTTATTGTGGTTTCACAATAAATGCTATATACATTATCAGTTGGGATAATTCTTAACGGTCATCAGATGAAACTCCTTAAATTTTTACAGTTTAAGTATTGACTGACAATCTTTATTGATAAAGAAGCTTAAGCTCACTAAGGGTTTAAATTGCATTTCAACTCGGCACGGTGTTTTCAATGATTATTTTCTTCTGCTTTTATCATGTTCAGGTTTAGTTATTGTAGGGTAAGGTCACATTTTCATATTTTTTTACTTTCATTTTTTTTTACTTTATCAAGCATACAGAGGTCCTAAACAAATGCTTTATTAATTTTTTTTTTAAATTTAACATTACTCACCTACAAACATATCCAGTGTAATGGGATGTAAAGGTTTTAGTAATATTATCCCAGGAGAGTTTTTATAATTGTCTCATGGAAAAATTAAATTGTGGAAATACGGTTCTGATTTGTGGTTCGAGTCCGTTCAAGGCAAATTCCTGGTGACCGCTGCTAAGTACTTTTCCAGATCAAACATTAGGCCCAATTAATTAACTTTTCTAAATTTACAGTCACATGAGTATTTATGAGCTTCAAAAAAGTGCACTCACTTTTACTTTCCCTGTTAAAGAACATAAACACGTATGCCACTGATTCCTAAGGAAGATCTTTTTGCCAGGGTCTTGGGAGGACTTTTGTTCAAACAGTACTAACCCCCTGCCTCCTCTGTATCCCAGGGAATCATGGAATTCGTGAGTCACTACTAATACCAGTGCGTCAAATCCCTCCAAGAATGTTTTGAGACCCACTGGGCCTTTTGCACTAGAAATACATAGATTTCATGGATAAGCAACAGAACAAGGATTCAGTCCCTCACCAACTTTATCCTTTAACTGCAAGGGTGAAACCTGTGTTCATTCATTCACTTAGAAATTCCACGAATACATATTCACTGAATACCTACTCTAGGCCAGGCATTGTGCCAGGTGTTGGGATACAACTAGTGGGCTAGTCACGGCCCTCACCTTCAAGAAGCTCAAGATCTCATGAGGAACACAGTGTGCCATGGGCACATAGCAGGGAGAGCCTCCAACCGAGTGCTGAGGAGTCAGGCACATTCCCTGGGGGAGGTGGGATTGTGCTGGGACCTGGAGGATGGGATGGAATTCTCCATGTGAAGGACGAGGTGGTGGGGAGAGCTTTTCCTGGTGGGAAGGAGCAGCCTTTACAGAGGTCCAGCAAGGCGGGAACTGAATGTTCTCTGTGTAGCTGGAACCTAGCGAGGCAGGGAGGGTGGCAGGAGAGATGAGGCTGGAGAGGTCAGCTGGAGCCCAATCACAAGTCTTCTATAAAGTATGCTCAGGGTTTTAGATTTTGCTCGAAGGACAGTGAAGAGCCAGGAGCAAATTTTGAGCTGGAGGTTTTATAAAGATTTTCTAAAGATTGCCTCTGCTGTGGTGTGGAGACTAGGCTGGAGAGGTAGGGAAATGAAGTAGGTGGCTGTCACTGTAGTCCAGGCACGGACAATGGTGGGCCAGAAGAGAGGAGCGGCGGTGGCATTTCTCCTGGCAGGCAGACATTGAGTCCACTGGAGGAGAGGGCACAACCCAAGAGGGCCCTTTGGAAAACTGGGCGGATGGAGAGGCCGTGTAAAGATTCAAAAGAGCAACACAGAATTACCCAGGTGCTGTGTATGGTTTTCAAAAATGAAAAATGAAAAGAGCAAAGGAATGCTCCCAAGCCATCTTGGAGTCAAAAGACACGAGAATGCACAGGTCAGACCGTGACAGCCCTCGGAGCTGCCGTTCGCTGTGCTGCCACTCTCATTCAGCACGCGGCTCTTCCGTCTCTAGCTTGTATTTTCAAACATATCAGAATCTTATGTAAACTGTATCAATATGCAGCCAGTCTCCGCATCACCACTGCCCACTTGGCTCTTTTTGTTTTCTGATTTATAGAGGCAATTGAAATGAAGTCAGGACTAATTGTTTTAAAAAAGATGATGAGCTAGTCCTACACTGGAAAAGCTGGCCAAAATGTTCCATACGGCCAGCTCAAACCATTTTGCTTAAGGCTGGTCCTCTCCAAAATTGCTTAGAAGGGGTAAAAATGTTTGCTCTTTCCATTTCTCCATAAGATAGCCATTCTCATTTCCTTCTAAGTTTCTAAGTTCCTTCTACTTATCTTCTCCTGTGGCTGCAGAGACCTATCCGCACTCGAATCTCTGTCACACTCATGGCTCCAGATCTTCCTGTCTTACAACCAGTCACTTCTGCTGGTCCTGTGTGGTAACTACTTAGGGCCTAAGTTTCTGATAAAGTAAATCAAGTATACTTTATTATAAATTAGTCAATAAATAAACTAATTTATACTGCAAAATCATCAAATAAGCCAATCCAATAACGACTACAACTTAAATGTGTTTCCTGCTCAGCTACGCCTGGAGTGGCTGTACAGCAGTGACCAAGTGCACCAGGCATGAGTATGCCTGGGCTCAACTCCTAGTTCCGGCTCCCACCGGCTATGTCTCCCTGGGGCAAGGCAAGCTAATGTGTGTTTCAGTCTCTTCATCTGTAACACGGAAATGCCACGTGTCTGCTTAACAGGACTGTTGGAAATTTTACATGAGATAAGGCATAAATTACTAATGACAGAGCCTGGCATAGAGTGAGTGCTCAATAACAGTTTACAATGATTGTTATTGCTATTATTATTGCTATTGTAAAACAAAGAGTCTTTAAAGTCTTTTCTAACCCAAAGACAAGAGTAATGTGCGAATTTCAGTCACAATGACAGGGTCAATGTATAAACCCTCAATGGAGCAAAGGGAGCATTTTTTAGTTGTGTGTGTGTTTTAACCATATGAGAGGCTGTTTACTTTGCACAAACTCAGATCTACTCTTGCATAGATATTAAATGATAGATTATACGTTCCTCAAGGTAGAGTGTGTGCTCTGTTCCCCGCTGTGCACCTCACATAAAGCCTGGCATGTAGCTGCTGCTCAATCAGTTCTGCTGAATGACTAAATAACAGAAACATCCTGGTGGGAGAGCTTCTAAAACCAATCCTGTTTCCTGACACCACAGCTCCCAAAGCATTCCCATACATTTACCATGTTCATTATCCTAAGAGTCTCATAAATTATTAGAAAGATCATTAAAGTTTTGTTGCTTAATTTAAATCTGAGACGTATTATTTTGCTGTCTTCAATTTTATGCATTGGTGACATTGTGTTTCACTCAATTCTCATTCTGGAAATTTCAGAGTAGCATGATACTCAATCATAGAAACTAGTAAAGGGGTTATAAGTTTGCAATGGTGCCTGCAAATCAGTGATTTTTTTTTCTTTCAGTTTTTCTTTCATAGTCCTGTTACTCTAAAAGATATGAGTTATTTAAAGAAAGGGTAAGAAGGCTTAGATAAATATCATGTATGAATTATCTGATGATAAGGTTTTGAACATGCTTCTCCAGAACACGACCACAAATACAGGGTTTCAAAAACTAAATCAAGGACACTCATGTTGGGTGTGGCAAGGCTAGGGTTTCCAATTAAACCACAGGGCTGGCCTTGGATTACATATGAGTGTGATTTCTTGGAGACTCTTGAAGGAGCTCCACAAAGAAAACTCTCTTTTTCTTGTTCACTGACACCTAAAATTCTTTTAGAGCAAAAACGAGAGTAAATTGCAATTGATTGCAAATGTTTTCCTAGAAGTAGATTTGGAAGGAGATGCAGAGGAACTGTGGAGTTTCAAAGAAAATCCTGAGGGCACTGATTTCTGAGGGGAAGCAAAGAACATGCAAGGGAGTATTGGGGAATCAAAACCAAAGGCCAAGGGGGGACCTATGTGTGAACCTGCACTTCGAGGAGGGAAGTGGTTCTTCTTAAGTGTATAGATATTTTTGTTTGCATATAATCAAATAACTGGAAAAAATCCTGCAAAGTGAAATATAATCTTGATCCATTAGAATGACAATCAATCAGGAAGCTTGAGGCTTGGTAACCTGAGGAGGGATTTAATAAGAAGCAATTAAAACAACTTGTTATAAAAAGGGCATTTGGAAAATTTCCCCTTCATCCAAAGAAATATTAAAAAGCCAATATGGAAAACAAGGGATAGAACTGCCTGGGTCCATGTGTATTGGGGAGATTAATTAATGATTTTTCTCATTAGCAAGCTATGATAGCAATGAAGCATTGCATTTATGAATGTTTTTTAAAAGTTAAACTCTGGTTAATGATTAGGCACAGTTATAGTTACATGCAAATGAATCTTGCATATAAATATATATATGTGTGTGTGCATACACATGTGTATATATGTGTATGTACATACACCTACGTGTGTGTATATATATAAATACACACACACACACATAATTGGTCAGTAAAGACAATATATTAGAACGTGTACCTTTCAATTCTGAGATGAGATGCACAAATCATGATACAAAATAAACATGATTTCTAAGTAATTACCTTTGTGACAAAAATTGCTAATGGATCTGAAATTCAGGTTTATTTGGGAACCCTGGGAGCCTAGCGAGCTGGCATATTCTGTTTAGCGACAAGTGCTTACTGGTCTTTCATGCTGCAGAATTGATGACTTGCCAGGTTCATATTCAAAAATACTCCTTGGCTCAGACCGAAATTTTCTTGTGTCCACTTTTCTGTCGGGAGGATCCCAGTCATGCCTAGAAATAAACAACAAATCACACATTAAAATCATCCTTTTTGCTTAAAGCAATGATATAAAACCAGTTATCTGTTTTCAAAGTTACTTTTAGTATAGTTTTTAAAAAATCTCTCAGGATAAAAAGTTAATCTGTGAAAAATACCACATTCCCCCGCACTGGCTCAACAAGTCACATGAGGTGTTTGTAGACGCGCAAAGAGTGACCAGTGAGTGACCTCCTGGGTCCCTAACGGCAGCCATGTATGCTTGTGCTTAAAATAGGTGGCAGTATGCTCTGCTGAACTATGTCCGTTTAACCCACCACTTTGTGACCTTTGTGATCCTTGATCCAAAGTGACAAGGAGTAATGCACACACCATGTTTGATCTTATTTCTTGAAGAGGGATCATCGCTTGGGAAGAGTACAGAAGTGTCATGTGGGTTGACGTGTACCAGAGCAGGCAGTGTGGTACAGGAGGTCGTCTTTTGGTGTGAGCCTTGAAAAACCAGAGTCAAAATCTCACTCATGGGAACCAGCACTTTTCCCCCAAGAAATATCTTCCACGAGGCTGTCAGAAGACTTACGAAGGAAAGCTTCAAAAACGGGTTTTACAGAATTAAGCTTTTCTAGGCTGCTGAGCTAAAGAAGAAGGCTTCTTTGGGCTTTTTTTGTTTTGTTTTGTTTTCGAGACAGTCTTCCTCTGTTGGCCAGGCTGGAGTGCAGTGGTGTGATCACAGTTCACTGCAGTCTCAAACTCCCAGCCTCAATCCATCCTCTCTCCTCAGCCTCCCAGGGGCCATGGTTTTCAGGAGGAAGGATTTTCTGACTAGAGATGGGGGTAATTCTGATTCCATGGAATGGAATGAAATTCTTGCTCCATGGCCCGTTGGAAATAGAAATGCTCTAAGGGACAGAATTAGGGGCAAGTCCTAGCTTTCTACTAAATTCATGAGTGATATGGAGCAAGACCCCTTAAACCTTCTCAATCTTCATCTTTTTCCATTTGTGTAAAACGCAGATAGCAATAATGTGTTGTTCTTCCTTGCAGAGGAGTTTTGAGCATTACATGAGATAATACATATGAAAGCCATATGGAATTTTTTAGGAGGTCATCATATGTTTTAGTGAGATACTTAATTTTAACAAAATGTACAGGACGGGTAATACCTTTAAATCAAAATGTTAATTTTGGTTATTTTTTGATGACAAATATAACAATTTGTGTCTAGAGAACTGTTTCTCAATTTTAAGGCCTCACGTAATTCATCCTGAGGAGATTGGTATTAAAATGAGAATCCCTTCACACACGAGGTGCGTGTTTTGCTGGGATACGCTGTACCCTATATGATCATCAATTACTTTATTATAACACTTTTATTTATTTTTTTTAGTGAAGATGGGATTTCTCCCTGTTGACCAGGCCAGTCTCGAACCTCCGGCCTCAGGCAATCGACACACCATGGCCTCCCAAAATGCTGGGACTGGCCGGGTGCAGTGGCTCACGCCTGTAATCCCAGCACTTTGGGAGACTGAGGTGGGTAGATCACAAGGTCAGGAGTTAAGATCAGCCTGGCCAAGATGGTGAAACCCTGTACAAAAATTATCTGGGTGTGGTGGTGGGTGCCTGTAGTCCCAGCTACTCAGGAGGCTGAGGCAGAGAATTGCTTGAGCCCGGGAGTCGGAGGTTGCAGTGAGCCGAGATCGCACCACTGCACTCCAGCCTGGGTAACGGAGTGAGACTCCATTTCAAAAAAAAAAGTGCTGGGACTACAGGCGTGAGCCACCACGCCTGGCCTGATCATCAGTCACTCTAAATGCTACAATAGGGTGTTGAATACAATTTTTCTGGAATGGGTATGATAATGCTTCATAACCAGCATTAATAAGAAATAATTTTTATATTCTTACTTATTAATTGCTAGGATAGCATAGGCCTTGGGTTTAGTGAGAGCTGAGCTTGGACTCTGGCTTGGACACACTATAGCTGTATGAGCTGAATAAGTTCCTTCCATCTTCTAAACTGCAGTTTTTTCCTCTCTAAAATAGATCGTATCTCACTGGGTTGTTCTCAGAATCAAATGATATGACACAGAAAAAGCGCTTAGCCTAGTGCTTGGCTTGTCATGAGCGCTCAATAAAGGTTACCTATAAGTAGAAGTATTAGTCATAATCCCAGTAAAAATAACACAATAAAATGTGTTTACAAATTTTTGTTTTCATGTGGATAGTTTGTATAAAAATATTTCAGTGGAGAAATGAAAACTCGTAATGAAAAACTGGTAGGAACAAATCACAGACACTTATTAACTAATGCCTCATTATGATTTATGAATAACTTTCCCTGCTTTCAAAAATGTCTCTTATTAGTAGACCTGGGGAAACAAAATTAACTGCATAGCCTGTAACCTGGTGTACCAAGGGAAGTACATGTCCATTATTTCTATTTACTTGTCTCTTATATGTATGTATTGATCAAAAAGCAGAAAATGTGCCCATATTACTTCAAGTCTAATTTAGGGCACTCCAGTATCATAAAACAAGACAGTGAAAACATTTGCTACAACCCCAGCCGAGGAGGTCAATATGGTATATGTACGGACCAACAAGATTATACACACACTCTCTCTGTGAGGTGTGCACTGATTCTTCTACTGAATGCCATGTAGCCTTATTTTTATCCTAAGCTAAACACAGGCCGCCCTGGGAGGGGGAAATGCCTTACTTTTCTGTTGAAGACCGGTCTCTTGGTCGAAGTGGTGGGACTGGAGGTGGAACATGTGGGGGAGGCACTGGGGAGGACGCATCCTTAAAGGCATTAGTGCTGTTGTCGGAGTGGCTTTTGGAAAGAGGTCTGTAGGTTTGGGTCTTTGCAGCAGGGTGTGACTGAGCACTGTAGGGTGGGTTGTATAGACCTATCATGACAAAAAACAAAAGTAGACAAAAAGCAGAAGCAAATAACCTCTTACAAATGAATTAAATTATGTGTCCCCCTTGAAATAGCCAATGATTGCATAGAAATTATCAATAAGCATATTCATAATGCATACATTAGAAGATAGTTTTTAAAATTTATTAATAATTTACTAATTTCCGTTAATTTATTAATTACAAATTTATTCTGTATGTAAGCCCTGATTACAGCAAATCTTTGTCAATTATTTCAGAACTAGCAATAATTCAGACTGGTACTAGAAATGAACTTATAAGTACTCAGCAAATTTTCTCTTCAATTGTATACACTAAGACAATAGTTAAGCAGCTGCTGAAGGGGAGGGGAGCAGGGAAAACCTCAGAACCTGGTCTAAAGAAAGAAGAAAAGAAATAGTTGTGCACCTGTCCTGAGCTTGTGGCTGGGCAGGGAGAGAAGCCCTGGGCGGAATCCCCTGAGACAACATTCGGAGAAAGTGATGAAGGGAAAAACATTTCTCAGGGGTCCCTCCCTCCAGCCTGCAGATCCCGGCAGGAGATACCAATGCTCGCCAATTCAAGTGGCAATGCCTGGAACTGAAGTCATTCTATTATGACCACTGGCAATTCTGAGTCAGAAAAGTGGCCCCGCCAAGGGGGATTTTAAAAATCTTTCAATGAATGGTTGCATTTTGGAGCTAAAAGCAGGGACAAGGTCACAGAATACTTTGTTTGACTTGTTTTTGGTGAAGTGTATCTGAAAGATCTTACACAATTGGAATCATTCTCTTTGCTGATAAAAGATCTTTATCTTATTTTCTACCCTGGGTTACAGTGTGTCCTTTCAGCCTGTCCTTCACACTTTGGTTAAACATTCCTGAAGCTGAGAATAAACAACAGTGGGAATGAATGAGATAAACCAGTATTCGTTCTCATTTCCAGGAGAAAAGTCAATCCTTTTGTTCCGCCTGCTCTGAGAAAGGAAAAGAAGTCATCCTCCTAACTTATGAACTGAAAACATGTGCTCAAACAGAAGGGTAGAAAAGGTGACTGTGTGGTTCTTCCAGACATTGCTGAGCATAAAATAGACATCGCAAGCAAGGAAACCCATCCTACCTGCATTGTATGTATAAGGAGTATGATACATGTCTGTGTCATCATCTAGAAAAAGAAACATAAATATCATGGTAATACAGATTGCCACCAAAGTATAATGAGACAGCAGAACTTCAGTGAAACAGCAGAAATTTGTTAGAAAAGCAATGTATTTTTCCTAGTTCATAATGCCATTTTTTTTTTTGACAGGGTCTTACTCTGTCATCCAGTCTGGAGAGCAGTGTTGTGATCATTGCTTACTGCAGCCTCCAAACCTCCAATCCCTGGGCTCAAACCATTCTCCCACTTAAGCCTCCTGAGTAGCTGGGATTACAGGTGTGTGCCACCACAGGCCTCTGCAAACTGCCCTTTTTTGTCTGTAACATATTCATCTTGCTGCCCTCCTCATAGCATGCAGAGTCAGGCCCTTGTCCTCGCTTCCCCAGAACCCTCTCTGCTCTGCATCGCGAATTTCCTTTACCAAGTGTTTTAGTGCCCTCCTGTCTACAGAGCTGGCTCAGGCAGACCTGCTCAGACTCACTCTCTTGATGAGAGCAGACAGGGGTGGGCAGAGGAACAACGTGCCTGTTTACCAGGCAACACACCAATTTAGACTGTGGACAGGGGAGGATGGAGGCTGAGGCCAGAGCGCCTGGTTGTCCTCCGTGGGGAGGCTTCTTGGCAGCTCAGGTGGTAGGCAGAGGCACAGGGATCTGTCACTGGAGGGGTGATAGAAGGAGAATAGGAGGCATGCTGAAAAGAAAGGGGACATGGAGTTTGCTGGGGTCTTGACATTGTGTATGAATCAAACCTACACAAAAGATGAGTGTACCCCCTTCAACCCACTAGGACCTGATCAGAAAGCAGAGCAGCAAACGTACCCGGCTTGTGCACCATGTGAATTTGCTTAAACATCGTCTTGTACCAGTCCTTCGGCCGGTCGACTGTCTGTAACGAACAGAGTGTCCAGTGGTTACAAACTGGCTTCCAATCAACATGACTCCTCAGTGTTTTCATTTCTCTATTTTATCTTCTTAATAACAGAGTCCCATTCTGTGATAAAATGTTCTGACTCTTTACTATGGCTTCATGACAATTTCAGCAATTTATTTAGTTATGTGTGCAGTTTGTTAATATATTACCTTGTGTTTGAATTTAGGCTGAATTGGAACTTCAGATGCTATGGTTTTATTTTTTCAAATTATAGCTGTGCCCAGCACTAGAGAGTTGATATTTGCACAAATATATTTATATAAAGTCCACTTAATAAAAGTTGTTGTTGTAATAAATTGCTGAACTCCTTTTGGTAGATAATGATCATTATCCTTAAATGCTTTTTATTGAACGTTCTGTCAAGACGGTGTTGTCAAGACGGTGTTTTCAGAATTCACTGGGGAATATTTTTGACTCAAACTGTATTCTGATCAGCGTGGCTCTAGAGAAATAAATTTGCTATTTACTAGTCTAAGTTACTAAAATACAGAATGTGGTAGGCGTCCTAGAGTCCTAGAGAAAATTTAAGAATGTAGATATTGCTTCAAAAATTTTAATATGATAATAAAGTGTATACAACATTGGCTCTGCTAAAGTTGTAAGTTCCTTGAGAGTAGAAGTCCTCCCGGATCCAGGCTTCGGACATGAGGGGAGCAGTAAGTTGTAGTGGAAAGATGAAATTAATGTAGAATCTTGAACCAAGATTCAAATCTTGGTTCCTTAAATTGCTGCTTAATACACTCCAGCAATACGAATTTGGGCAAGTCATGTCAACCTTCTTGAGCCTCGGTTTTCTCCTCTGTAATATATCATAATTATATCTAAGTCCTAGGATTGTTATGGAAATTGAATGAGATGATGTCTACACAAGGCCTAGAACAATGCCTAGAATATAATAACTACTCAATAATATCACTAGGGAACCACAAATATTTGTAGAATGAAATAATGAATCAAGGTAGCCTATTGGATGGAACTCTGCCTTTCTGTACACCTGTAAAAGTAGACATGTGCTTTTATAATCATACTCATAGATTTTGCAAGATCTTACCCCAACTCTCTTGGAGCTACCTGGGCAACAAGCTTGACCATTCTGCTTATAGGAACTAAATATACCAGACTTTCCAAGACAGCTCTCTTGACTTAAAAAATTCCATTAGGACTGATACAAAAGTATTCTTATACTTATTAGACTGAGCTTTGGTTTAGATTTTCTTGCCTGATCTTTTTTTCCCCCCAGAAATGTGGTCACTGCATTTTTCATCTGGACATTAAGGGTTTTGTGCTATATCTAAATTTATTTTGACCTCTGGGCGTATATTATTCTGAAAATCATCCCAAATACAGATTAACATTAAGGGCCCCTTGACTTTGTTGTGAGTCAGCTCTTCATTCTGGGCTCTTTCTCCGTGGCATAGTTGAGGTTATTGGTGGAATATTCAGTCAAAGGATGGGAAATGGTGGAAGGGACTGCAGTGATGAAGCAAGAATCTATTATTTGCTGGCTCAAAGTTGCTAAACATGTATCTTTCAAGAAAGTTTATTTTTATAAAGGACTGATTTCTCTTTCATTAAACCTCATTTCTTTTATGGTACTAAAGCAACAGAAAATACAACATAACGTTGTGCAAAAATGTTTTCCTGGACATGCCAATGGCAACAAGGAAGGGTACGAAGTGAGTTCTATCACTGTATATGGCAATGCGTCTTGACAGACAGGTTTTTTTTCTTCACTTGCTGGAGGGCCTATATCAGGTAGAATCTCACAGTGATGCCATCTGCCAGCTTTATATGGTGAGCACAGAGAGGCCAGAAAATGCCCCGTTGGCAAAGGAAATATGAAGCTGGTAAACTAAAATATTAAAACTCTATATCCCTTTCTAAAGAAGTACTCTCAGCATTTAAAGTTCCTTTTGTAAATTTTGTAAATGCCATCATAGAGATTGCTATGCCTAAGGTTCAGAATAAGAAAAGAGTCTACTCAAATTTCAGGAAGTTTACTTTTGTATGTAAAATCATTTTGCATAAAAAACAGCTACTAGCAATTCACTATGCAGTTTTTTCTACAACCTTGACTGAATAGACCTGAATTTTTACATTCCTACAGTTTTCAAAACATCAGAACTCTACACCAATTTAACATGCAGAGATTTCAAAAAAGAAAAAAAGACATATTTTCTACATAGCAGTATACAGTGACTCTGTTCTATTTTTTTCTCCTTTTCACTTTTGAAAATACTCAACCAAGTGTTATATTGGAAGTAGAAGAAAAGAATCTTGTATTTCACTTAACTAGCTGGCCTTAATGACACAATCTCATGGGAGCTGAGCCCTGGTGATTTTTGTTGTTTTGAAGAACAGCAGTGAAAGGTTCACATAGATGTCCTAGGTCACATGAGAGAGGGCAATCTGGAGGGCTGCTTGCCTTCATTAAAATAGCTCAAAAGTACTGTTTGTTGACTCTTGGCTTTCTAGAGTTTCTGGATGACTTTACAAAATTCTGTTTCCTCGGCATAGGCTGGCTGTCTAAAATGATCCTACAGCACGGTACATTGCGACAGTACCGCCTTTGGCAAATACACTGAATCTGATCATCACTACTTTCTACACACATGAGAAAGAAAAACAGCCTTGGAGAGTCTTGGCCTGCTGTGGCTCAGAGACAGCCTGACTTGACATTTATAATCACAGCTAAACAAGGGGATGTGCTCAGGAGGGCTGTATAGTCAGTGTAAGATGAGAGTCCTCATAGAACTGTACCTTCTTTGTCAAGTTTTAAAGGTCTAAGTAAGAGGACAATTATGCATAAAAATTACAGTTCCTTATAAGGAACTTCTGCATTGGTTACATTGTGTTTTCTATTTTATAGAAGGGAAACTGGCATTAAATGTGTAGTGTGTTGGCTTATGCATACCCAGACGTGCTTTTGATTTGGCAGTGGATAAACATTTAAAAAATTTTAAGATGATTTAATTTTCATCAACCATCTCTAGCATCTCAGTTTTTCCTTTTGAAACTAACCAAGCAAAGTCTGGTTAGTTAAGGAAATTATGTCTTATAATGGATAAAAACATGGACCAGGCTTGCATGTCCATTATATATCATTTATTGACCTAAAACATACTCAGATATTTTTGACAAAATCCTCTCAGACAGAATCTACAACTACACAGAATCAGGGCTTCTTAGTTTTGTCTATACTGTGCCTCAAGTGTCAATTACACAAAACCAATGACACCATATCTGTCTGACTGTCTATCCCTACATAATTAGAAGAAAGTTTCAAATTTAACCATTTTGAGTCAGAAATCTTATAAGGAAAATGAACAAGAAAACATATCACCAGAAACATGTAATCATCACAAAATGAAGAATATTGGTCATAATCCCTGAACTTTTGTTTGGCACATAAAAATATGGCAATTGTCAGTTTCAAGACAGATTGTTAGAGCATCATAATTAGTCATATTCCCTCAATCTAATGAGTCTAAAACCCCAGTAATTGCTGTACAGATTTACTTTTTGGCTTCCAGTTGTAATACAGATGCTGAGAATAATCCATTTTAAACTCTTCTGTCTGTACATAAAACACATAATCCCCATATAAAAATGTAAAGTCAAGGAGAGAAGAAAATCCCCACACTTTATCGTTAGTTCTTTTTGACTGTTTCCAATCTTACCATGGCTTTTTTTTTTTCCTGATCTCTTTCCCGTTCTTTGCCTCTCTATCCCTTATTGTCGTGGCTGCCCAGGTCTGCATTCCCGGGGAGCAGCTCTTGGCCACACCCCAGCTTTACATGGGTCTTGCTTCAAAGTACATGCAGCTGTGCTCCCTCCCCACAGGGCCCCCAGCTTCACCTGCAACGGTGTTGCTGCTCTCATCCTGTCCCCGGCTTCCTTCTCCCGGCTGGCACAAGCCTTCTCTTCCAGTGGACTTGGTCAGCCAGCTGCTGCCTGCCCAGGTTCTCAGAAGCTGCCTCTGCTACTGCTGCGTTTTGCCGGAAGGGGCTGCCCAGATACACTGAGCAATGCTTTGGCAGAGTTTTAAAACTTAAAAAAAAACCCAAACACTTTCACTTATCATCCCAGGAGAGCTCTCAGCAGGCACGGCAGAAGAGGGACACTAAAATGTGTATTTTTCTTCAGACAGCTTTTCCTTTCCATGACATTAACTCTCTTCACTCCAATCATCTCACCTCCCAACTCCCAAATCACAGCTCCCAATCCCCCGGTGTTAACACACATCCATTTCAAGAAACGAATACATCACTGGTTTATTTGCAATGCACGTGGGAATTCAAGGCAGCCAAAGAATTTTCACTGTCTCATTCCTTCTCTTTTGTCTCTATTGCCCTAAGCCTCCTTGGTAAAAGGTAAAAGAAAAACAAACAAACAAACTAAACCACACAACCCAGTTTTATCATTTAACAAAATCGCAACGTTCACCATGTTTCATTCAAATAGAAAAACAGATTGTGTAATTCTCTCCCATCGACAGCTTTCTTTCTCTGCCACACACAGCCTAACATTCATGAGAACTCGGATGGCACGGAGGGCAATCCTCATTATATAAGACCCTAGGAATGCGCAAAGCCATGGACAATCCGTCCTTTGTGGAGTCTGTGCACAGCCCCAGACAGACGCACACGCTGGCATTTCCTACCGTTCTAATTGCTGTGGGGATTCCGGATTCATCCACGGGCCCGATCCCTGGGTAATGCGGGGCTTTGATGACGGTGACTCTCTTCTCTTCCTCTGAGGATCGGTACAGGGGGACAGAGCTGCTGGTGGTGCCATCCAGAGAGTGCGCGTGCTGGGGATACGTCTCTGTGGAATCTGTACAGAAAATTTGGTAACATGGAATGTATTCATTGCACAGGGAAGCATCAATTCATGGTGTCTTGTATATTTATGCCAACTGCAACACAGAGTCCATATTGCCATCACTATCCCTTTTAACTCATTTACTTTCCATTTGAGCTGGTGGAGACTGTGTAGGTGTGCGGGGAACAGACCTATACCGGCAAGGGCCTCACCGTTTCATGAAGAAGGCTGGGGAAGAATGGCATTTGTTACATGACGGTCTGGAAGCCTCTGAGTTAGGAAGTGCTCTACATGCATTATCTCTTCTTATCCTTCCAGTAATCTTTGAGGGAGGGCAGGATAGGGGGAGCAAGAACCAGTTTTATAGATGAGGGGCAGGAGCTGAGACAAGGTTAGTAATTTCCCTCAGGTCATCATTTACATTAATATTATTCTTGTGATACTGCTAACTACTATTATCTATAAGTTTTGAAATGTATTTCTAGACAAAGATATGACTGTTGAGTCAGTAACAGTGATTTCCTAAAAATGAAGCAAAACCAAAAATCACTTAAAAAAATTTTCACATCCAAGCCTATGGTTATGAAAGCTTATGAATAAATAAATGCTTTAAAATTATTAGTACGATTTCCTATGTGCGTTTTTACCTTAAAATATAAAAAATCATGACTTCTTACTTTTTGACGACAAAAACTGCCTTAAGGATATAATTTAGATGAGGCTTATCAAGTTCTTCATGGTTTTTAGTGACTTCTAGAATACTTTCAGAAGCAACAGAGTACAGACACGCAGTATATATTCCATTTACTCCTAGTTCACAGCTATTTTTAAAAATCAACATTATTACCATTCCTCTGGTACGATTAATAATATGCCTTTCTATTTTTCTGCAATGAAATTGAAAATGTTGGTGACAAAGAATGACAATTTGTATTTACTCTTTATGTCATGGTTTGTCAGGACTGCCACTCAGAAAGTCCTTTAAGGTAGAAATGAAAAGAATTCTCATGTTTCAGGGTGGGACTCATTGATACCATCATGTGTATATGATATATATCATATATAAATATATTTTTCATGAAAAATGTGTATAAAATATCATAAGTAAGCTTTTTTTTTTTTTTTTCTTGAGACGGAGTCTCGCTCTGTCGCTCAGGTTGGAGTGCAGTGACGTGGTCTCATCCTCCGCCTCCTGGGTTCAAGCGATTCTCCTGCCTCAGCCGCCTGAGTAACTGGGACTACAGGCACCCGCCACCAAGCCTGGGTAATTTTTTGTATTTTTAGTAGAGACGGGGTTTCACCATGTTAGCCAGGATGGTCTCGATCTCCTGACCTCATGATCCACCCGCCTCGGCCTCCCAAAGTGCTAGGATTACAGGCGTGAGTCACAGCACCCAGCCATAAGTAAGCTTTTTAAGAAATTTTAACTCATCAATATAAGGGTAATTACAATTCAGATCTCTCTAAGGGAAAATCCACGGTAACATTTGTAACTGCTATTACTATGATTATGACTATTTTCCATTTAGTTTGCGTCAGAAAGGCATTTTTAATACATTTTTTTATGAAGAATGGATAAGGCCAGTTATCAAACTGCTTTATGCGCAGTTTATGTGTTGGATGGTGACATAAAATGTCCCTGAATAAACGAACAGCATCGTAGCCTTTCAATACTGAGTCAGCGCTGGGAAGGCGGTGTGTTGTCTGCAGTCAAAGAAGATACGGTGGTTCAAGTCCCGGCTTGTCGTTTCTTTCCCCTGTGAATGGCCCCTTGAATGTGAAAGTAACATTCAAGCTAGTCCTTATTAAGACACAATGAGATATGTAACACTAATTGACTTTCTATTTAATTCCAAAAAGGACTTGAGTGGGCCGCCATGATACTAGTATTTTTATCAGCAGCAACTGTTATCAGCAGCACGTGCAAAGTCCTACTCTAAGCAAGGAGAATCAACTCTGCCTTCACATCTGATCCATTGCATTCTATGAACCCATACCTTATGCAATAGAAGTTACTCTTTATTTTATTATCCTCATATATGGTCATGAGAGACCATAGCTGAGATCTTAGCAATCTTTTGTCATCTTAGCAATCTTTTGTCCTAAACTCAATACAAAATTCATCTAGGGCAAGGTAGATGTACATATTCCCCCGAGACCTATCACAGCACTGGCCAGCTGGAATTTGTTCAATGTTTAGATGTGGAATGTCTTCCCATGTCGAATATTTTACATGTAATAAATCTGCTTATCAATATGTTCTAAAATCAAGGCCTATCTACATTCAAGTTTTTATATTTTTTTGTTGGATGGGGACAGGGACAAAACTGTATTCACTAAGACAGGCAATGAGACAGAGTCAGACTTTGTTAATAATTATTTGGGAAAAAGCTATGGCTAGAATAAATTGTCGAGTTTTACTTCGTATGTGTGTAAACGCATAGTTCCATTTTAAACAATCTAGATATAATGGACTTCCATCATAATACTACACTATGGGCTGATTGCTAAGGGCAAAATGTCGGCATAAGCAAGTTTGACTTTCTTAACTCTAAAAGGACATCATTGAGGGATTCACAGATGATCCTCAGGCATAGCATCGGCGAAGGCACAGATATATTTAGACTTTAATAAGTCCCACGGCTACCTTTAAAGTTTTATAGTTAGAGAGCTTTGGTTGACCTCAGAAGTTGAGTTCTATCATGCATATGCTGGATGCTGACATAAAATGTCCCTGAATAAACAAACAACATCATAGCCTTTTAATACTCAGTCAGTGCTGGGGAAGGAGGTGTGTTGTCTGTTGTCAAAGAAGACACGGTGGTTCAAATCCCGGATTTTAGTTTCTTTCCCCTTGTTGCTGGCGCCTGTGGCCAGAGGACCAGGCCCCTCCTTTTCTGGGAGGTGCAGAATGGTCCTGCGGTCCTGAGAATTGCCCTCTGCTCCCTGCTGTCCTAGAAGCTTCCTAGTAAGTCAACTTCATGGAAACTTGTTCAGCCTGAATTCCTATGATAGTTCAATTTCATATTGCTTTTTGATATTTTAGGTTTTTAAGTTACATTTTTACAAACTAAGAAATATTTATGGGCTGGGTATGGTGGCTCATGCCTGTAATCCCAGAACTTTGGGATTAATCCCAGCACAAGGCAGGTGGATCACCTGAGGTCAGGAGTTCGAGACCAACCTGGCCAACATGGTGAAACGCTGTCTCTACTAAAAATACAAAAATTAGCTGGGTGTGGTGGTGGGCGCCTGTAATCCCAGCTACTCGGGAAGCTGAGGTAGGAGAATCACTTGAACACAGGGGGCAGAGGTTGCAGTGAGCGGAGATCGCACCATTGCACTCCAACCTGGGCAACAGAGCAAGACTCTGTCTCAAAAAAAAAAAAGTATTTATCACATTATTTTCTGAACTATCCGAATATACTTTACCATGTAAGAGCATTTCTATCACTGTATAGCACAGCTTCTTTCTCAGGAGGCCACAAAGAGTCCATGAGCCCCATGAAATTACCCGCTTACAAGTTTTTATGAATGTCCGTACGTCCATTTGTTTTCTGGAGGAGAGCTCTGTCTTTCACTGAATTCCCAGTCCTCAGAGGGTTAAGAACGATTGTGCTATACAATGACCGAACCTTCATTTAAGGGAACTCTTAAGTTTCTCTTGTGTGGCTTCCCGCTACCGTATCCCTGACTGCAGGTCTTCCAGCCTTGGTTTGAATGGCGGTTTCCTCCTTTGTGAGCCAGTAGATGACTGCGTCACTGCTTTGCAGGGCAGCCTGTCCTCCTATTACACTGTTTTAACTGTCAAGCGATTCTCCCTTATATAGACCCCAGGAAATAGTCCACGGTGGACATGGTGGAAACTCTTCCAAAGACGAACAAGCTGCCCTAGTGGAAAAGCCTGCATTCATGTCCTCCAGTGGCGTAAACCCCCTTACCCTAAGTAACCATCTTCGTTTTCTTTCTACTCCACCACCCCAGACATTTACGTGCCCACTCCAGGCTCAGACACTGGTGGAGTCACTGTCTTGGAAGAGGATGGTGCCCATTTTCTCCCATGTTGGGTCCTCTGCCCCAGTTACTCCCTGGGGATAGGGTCATGAAATAGTGGAGTGCTGAGCGCCCCCCGCCTCACCTTGATGCTGCATATTTTTCTCCTGTGGTTGTACTTGCCATATTGAGGTTGCCATGGAAATCAGGGTGAGCAAATGACTTACCAAGGGACGTGCCGTGCTGCATGACGATGCTGGAGTTGAGTGAGGCTGGGAGAGAATATGCCGAGGGGGAAAACGGCCTCTGATAGTAACTCATGGGACTCACGGCACCTCCAGAGTTTCCATTCACTGTTATCTGGCTCTGGGAAAAGTGCAAAGCCATCGAGTTAAATTAGCACATAGTTCCCTGCAGACATCATTCCGTCAGGCGATAATAAAAGACTTCCAATCACATGACAGTAATCAGCTGCCAAGCTCTTACTTATTTTGAAAACTGAGGTCAGAGGGCATGGTATGTTCTTTGCCTTCTCTCTCTTCCCTTATTTCTGAAAATCACTCTCTTGTGTATCTGAGGGCCCAGGGAGTGGTTAGGAGGAATGAAAGTGGCTGACTGGCGGGCATGCCACTCTGCCAACAGAGGTGCCAAATGGTATCAGTAGGAGTCAGTAGCAAGTAAACGTGGAGGACGACTTTGCTCTGACAGTCAGAATGTCAGCGGTCAGAATACTGTCGTGCTGTTCCGCATGCAGCATTGACATGGATGTCCTTCGACATGAGGCAAGGGATTGGTTCTCAGACCTAGTCAGGGATATCTTCTAGTGAATCAATGTTTCCAGAGCCAGGAGAATAACATAAGGAATCCAGTTGTTTGGATGTATATATCATGAAGCAACCTATTCTAGGAGGATCAAATACCTGGTAAAGGATCAGAAAGACATGTTCAACCACTGGCTTCTCCCCACTTCAGCCTCACTGAGCACTTCATCAATCTCTGATTTCTTAATTATTCATTGTTTTGATTGTTTCGTATCGGAGTATTTTAGAACCCAATGGTATCTCAAGCTTCTTGTTGAAGATGGTCATATATATGCTTCTTTAATATTTTGTATAACATGCAGCCTAGTGCTGATGACAGAGCAGATGTTCAACAGGTATCTATTCTGATGGAACTGAATCGGCTTAGTTCACAGATATCGAGCTCAGGACTATCAAGCACGCCTGTCTACCCACAGCACGGTACTGACCATTACGGGGCACACACAATGCACGCATAGAAGATCAAACATTAGTAAGAACGTTTAGTTAAAATTATAACTAAATACACACAACACACATAGGCACACAGATAAAGAACCATAATTTGTGAATCTTTTCTACTTATTTTAAAACAAAACAAACTTCTATTACACAGGCTTGAAACATAGATATAGTAACTGCATATTTCTCTGATTTCACTTTAAAGCAGATAGGTTTTCAAATGACCTAGAATAAGTCTAATTTGATTACTGTATAGCCACACCACTTATGTCCCCAAATCAATAAACATTTCATTACAAGCCTTACGCTTATTGATTAAGTAATTCTCTAAGCTGTTAGAAAAATTACTCTCATATCCTAACCAGCCACATCTTGAGGACCTGCTCCCTGGAGAGAGCTGGACATTCAGATAAGTGTGAGGCACAGGCCTACCCAAATCTTCAGAGCCTTTATGTACCTCTGATGAATGATTTGAGAACACTTTCACCTCCTTGCCAAGTTAAGTTTGGTGGATCTTTGTCAATATCATTGTAATAGTATTATAACATGTTATAATTAATGTTAAAAACCGAAGAATCCTTATTAAAAACCGTCAGGTTAACTATGTTACTAAACTTACAAACTTGCTCTGAATCCTATTTTGATGGTTTCAATAATATTGACTAGGGGTTAAAAAAGCAAACACTGAGAGTAGATTTATTCTTTTATTGTGTTAAACCAATCAGGATTTTACGAATACAATAGCATCATTAGCATTTTAGAAAATACTGTATTGTTATAGTGAATTCCTTATTAGGAAAAACATGTCATGAATAATCTATTTGCAATTTTAAACTGATAATTGCAATTAATTTCTCTCACAAGTAGCTCTGCTTGTGCCCACAAGACTGTATATAAGACAGTCTCCTGTAAAGTTTTAAAAGCAGAAAATTGAACAGGTTAGTTGGTAGACTGATACCCTCTCACTGCCTTATATTTTTGGTTAAAGGTCCTGGTAAAGTTTTAAAAGTTAAGAACCATTTGAAGCACAGTAAGGCATGGGACGAACCCACACCTGTGGTGCTCCTGGCTGGTCCCGTGTGGCAGGGAGGGACTCGCTATGGGGTTAGGCCTGGAAAACGAGGCTCCCTCTGTAGCCAGTCTCTGAATGGAACATTTGAATGCAAAGTGTTAGACCCAGCCACTGAGGTAATACTAAATCCTATTACCAAAAAAAGCATCTTTTACTTTTTGTAAATTGTAGTGTCTTAAAAAACATATGGCTTATTATAACATTTCTCTGTGCATAAAATTTGCAGATTTATGAGCTTGATAGAACATAAAACTATGTAGCACAAATAAAATTTTGTCTATGACAGTGCTTATTTGGAACTTCATTATAATATCAATTTTAAAAAATCAATTTTTTTTTTTTTTTGCGTGAAGCTATGTGCCTCTTAAATGGAAGCCATTACTTAGACATTATATGCAATACAGAATCTGTGCCATAAAATTTTGAAACATTTTAGCCATTCACAGATCATTTATTAGGGATTGCTTATCACATAGATATATTTAAATAATATATGTATGGAAAAGATGTTTATATTGCATAAATGAAAGACAAATTATTGATATACAAAATTTAAAAATGTATTCGTAAATTTCTATCCCGAAATGGCTCAGGAAGAATAATTTTTAAAAATCATACAGCTAAATTTCTGAAAGGTAGATAAGATTATCGACATCATTCACTCCTGGACAACAGATAATTCAAAAGTTGTAGCTATTAGAGAAGGAGGGGCAAGAAAAATTAGCCTCATGCAGTCAGTAATCATTTATGTGAGAAACGAGGTTATAGAAAAGAGTCACACAGGACACATTAATGTGAGTCTGTGAGAAAAACTATTAACGTGTATTAATACTGGGTTAAAATTTTTTGAAAAATTTTAGACTTTCTCTACGATCATAACATATTGTGATGTATGCTTACCTAACAAGGCAAATCACTGTACAACTCATCAGCTACAGTAACACGGGAAACCATAAGTAACCATTTTAGAGTAATTGTAAGTAATTTTAAAATGAATGAAGAGAATATAAGTGACTTTTTTAGCCTTAAGCAGGCTTATGAGGATGTCTAATGATTTCCCTGACGGATGGCACAGAATTGGTTTCGGAGTCAACACCTATGCAAATAAAAATGTCAGCTGAAAACTGAGATGGCACAATAAATCAGTCCTTTTAAGGAAACGGTGGAGGCAAAGAAAGGCAGAATAATTACATGCGTGGCCGCAGGGGTGGTTAAGGTGGTGCCATCTGTCACAGCAGACCTCTGACCCCAGGTGGGGGAGGGTGTCTCAGAACGGCCAGTGGTGTCAGAGTCACCAATCTGCAGCTCCTCAAGCATGGCTGTGGAGGACTCACTCTCCGAGCGGGAGGAGTGCTCGGCCAGGGAGGAGTCTGTAGTCAGAGAGCCTGTGTCATGGCTGTGGATAAGGCTTTCAGGAGCTGGGAGCAGGTGTTTGTATAAGCAATGGGAAAGGCTGTGGGGTTTATGCAGGCGTGAAGACCCCAAACCATCGGGTGGCGGAAGGCTAAGTGATGCTGAGCTGGTGCCACTGCCTGGTGAAAAAGTGGCTCGGTTCAAAGGTACCACGGAAGGAGGGCACGGAGGAGAGGCTTCGGGTGTGGTTTGTCTGTGTGTCTGTGAAGCATTTACCTCCAACACACTGGCAGGTAAGTTCTGATTTCCAAGCTGAGTATGAGGAAAAAATAATAAGAGATAAATTATCCAATTAACAAAAGTACCTCTTTTTTGCAATTTGGCAGAGAAGGCAAAGCATCGGTTTTATTTGCAAGCACTTTAAGGAGTTACATTCAGATGGATTAGGTGCCAACCACACAGTGCAGAAAAAGCATGAAAACAGGAAGAAAGTGAACCCAGTCAGTGTGTTTTGGAAACAAGGCCGGCTTTCACACAGCACTGCAATGTAATTTTGGGTAGGGGCTTGAGAATGTTGGCACAATGAAACTGTTTCCTCAGGAGTTTTAGTTTTTGTATTTGTGACGATGATAAGATATCAGACTATTGGTCAGCAGAACTGGTTTGCCCTTCACTAGAAAAATCTAATCGCATAACTGCCTCCCCCTTGCCAAAATGTCCCCAAAACATAAATCTGTCTTATTTTTTCCTGGTTTACGAATCTAAATACTGATAATACTAAACACAACTAAGTGGAAAAGATAAATGGAAACGCTATTTTATTTCCTTTCCACTCATTAAATCTGTTCTTTGATTTCACTACAAAATATGAAAAGAATTGGACTTTAAAAATATCCTAGCAATGCAAACAGAGGTACCATGTGTGAAAATGAAAACCAGCCACCGATAATGGTTAGAACGCACCCTAGTTAGTTAGAACTGTGGTTGGCACTAAATCTTAGGTAAAGGAGAAAGAAACTGAAGGAAAAATGAAAGATTTAACAGCTCCAAGCCTATATATAGCCCAAGAGGCTAATCATAGCGAAGGGATGCTCTGTAGGAAGAAGAGAGACGACCATTTGAAATTTTACAACCACCTGTGGTAGCCTTGATGACGTCTGACCGCACATGACAAACAGGATGATAAGCACTGAATTCAACATAAGTGAATAAAACTCCGAAGCAAGTTTTCTTACTTATTTTTTCTACCTTTCAGAATAAATATTTTTTTTGGAGGGGATGTTTGGGGGAGGAAATGGTTTGAAGATAGATGGCCAGAGGTATTGTGAGATACTAATACAAAGATGGGAAATGAATGAAGGAGAACCATTTACACTTAGAAAATATTGCCTAGTAAATGTTTAAGGAGTACAATTTGGTGTTCTTTGGCGGCCGCAATTTTCATAATGGCTGATGTCATGCGCGTTGTTAGCATGATAAAAAAAGTTACAATACTTTTTTTCTCAGACTTTTACTTGAATACTTTTAAAAAATCCATCATATAAAAAGGTCTCTCTGAATCATAGATCCCTTAGAAATCTGATGAAAGTGACTGATCTTTCTTTTAGGGAAATGCACAAATTCATACATACAGAAAGTTCTGCATAAACTTCATGGGAAGAGGGACACTCAAAAGCATA